AGCGACGTTGACAAATCGAGAGCGCCAGGAAATACCTTGATTTTCAAAGAAGACGGATTTTTGTATTTCCACGAAAATCAAAGTATAATAGGGCGCAATCATAAATTTTCGCGACGTTTTATTGCGTCCAGAAAATAGGGGATGCAGACAGGCAACAAACTGACGCGAAGAAATGGAGATGCGTTGTGTACAACAAAAAAAAACACACACACACACGAAGGGATGAAAAATCGCCGTGGGAAAATTCGTGATTGATGCACGTATCAATCACTTGTTGCTTTCAATCTCAGGATCTTCGGAATCGCCGTCCCGAGCTTAAATTGGATCGCAGTTAATCCACAAGTTATAACCAAATTCTTCAATCAATATTAACTTTGTTCATGTTACAACACTTTAGAATATATTCAGCTATAATTCTCAACGAGGGCCCCACGATGAGGGTCCCAAATTTCATCAACTGTATGTATCAACTTTGTACAAAAATGATTATAGTTACATTGTAAAATCTATGCTTTTTCGTATTTTCTTTTACTTATTTGCATACATAAATCTCTATTTAGTAATTAACCTAAAACACGTTGCAGCTAGATCAATCGATCGTTTGGAAACTAATAATTAACGACGTTGTAAAATTGGTTGAAATACATCAGTTTCGAAAACGCCATGCAAAATTTATGAATATTCAAAGCGGGAAATTTGAATTATTTTGAATACGGCGTATCCAAATTGCAGCCTCGAGAAAGGTTAAGATAACAGCGAAATTCATATATAATATCGACATTCAATTAAAAAATTTAAACAAAAAAAAGTACATTGTAGTGGAATTTTACGCGGGGACCCACGTTGGTCGCCAAATATCATCTTTTTTTCTTTTAAATATTACAAACAAAACAATGACTAAAATAAAAAAAAATCAAACAAACTGTCTGTTGTTGCGTTATCCTCGCAGATGGACGAGAGCCAAAGTAATAATTTCCACAACAAAAGCCCTTTGCTGAGGTCGACCCACCTACCTTCTGTGCATTCCGTAATAACGTATTACAAACACAACAAGAGAGTGGAAAAAAATAATGCATTCATACAAACATACAGGCATGCAAACACAGAGAGACAACTCAACGCGACTCTCTTCATTCCTGAACAAAACAAAACTGGTTTTTGATCCTCAAACATTTTCGCGGTTCAAATATTTGTACGTTTATTGTATAGCGTACGGCTGAGTTCGCGGCGCAATTGTTTGTAATATTAACAAATGAGAGAGAGAGAGAGAGAGAAAAAAAAAAGAGTTACGTAAAGCGTATCAAATATCCTTTGAAATTTTATTGTATATTTTTTTTTAATTTTCAATGTATTCTGGATTTTGTTATATTATACAAGGTGGCGCAAAAGTAAAAGTAAAAGGATGCAATGGAACTACTTTACGTGTGGATTTTCTGTACCCCAGAAACGCAAAATTTGTATGTTAACATAACCACTTAAGTGGAAATGGGCTTCATCGCTCATTCACGTTGCGTTAAAAAAACAGACTGAAAATTTGTCAAATAAGCAGTAACAATAAATCCACGTTCTTGAGGTGTGTATCACTCCATGGCTTGATGACAACTAATTCACTATATGTCTACATTATAAATGTCAAAGCACAGTGACTTTTGGCGCCATCTGCAAGAATGGCAGCCAACTCAAATTATGACATTACTTTTGCGCCACCTTGTATATTGATTTATAATAACTTTTTTTATTTGTAAACTTCACTTATTGTAACCATTTCTTGGAATTTAACTAAAAAATAATTTATTTACTGCCACAGTTACGCATTCGTAATGTTTTCATTTATTTGTGTGGAATCAATGTGCATTTAGTTACCTATATTTGGAGTAGATCGGGGAGAGGAGGTGAATTGATGGAATATCGGGTTTATATTGAATGCGGGTGTATTCCCATAATATTTAATATCTGCATGTCAAATAACTGGGAAATCCATTAGACCTTAATGCCCAGGATAATTGAAAACGAAATCCGCGGCTCACAGAGTTTTACGTAATAATTATAATCATAATAAATGAATGACCGAACGAACGAATCGTCAAATAATATGGGCGAGTTTAAACTCGCGAAAACTGATCGAATTATAGGCGAATAAATGTGGAATCATGTGCGAAGCTAAACGCGAGAGAATCGATTTCGGAGGCGGCTGCTGTAATAATGATTTTCGCGGCTAATTCCAAACTAGAACTCTCTTTATTCACTTCACTTCACCAAAGGTTTTCAGTTGAAAGAGGAAAAAAATGGAGATGGAAACCGCTGCCGCCAACAGGTGCAACCATTTATTACCAGTTTTATAAGACATCTCACTTCAACCATTATGTTTCCATTTCAAAAACGAGCGCACATTCAAAGATAGTTGCGTTTCTATTTGTAGCAACAACAACCAGTGACAAGTTTCGTTCGCAGACTACAGTCTCTCTTCTGTAAATAATGAACCCAACAAACCCCCCCAGATCATCTTCCTCTTCTCTATTCCAGTTTATTTGTCCTACTTCTCCTCTTTCCAGGCTATTTATTTTTCAGTTTGATTTGCTTTGAATAATGCATCCTTCTTCTTCTTCTTGTTGTCCCATCATCCAGACTGCCGACTATATAGATCTGGATCTAAGCCAAAGAGATGCTGTCTGTATAGGGATGTGGGAATGGGAATGGGGAGGCTGTTGCTGCCGAACGCGCATAAAAGTAGATTAGCGGAATTGCTTTGCAAGCGTTCAACAGATGTCCAATTCCGCGTGTCCCCTCTAAATCCGCTCAAATAATCATAAAATGGAATTTATTGCTAAATTTAGTGGGTGAGAGGACCGGAACGAAAGCTGGCTGGATGAATGAAAAAAAAAAAAAAACGCCATCCTTTGACGCTTTCATCGAGTCTACATATGTGTGCGAGTGCATAAAGCCCTAATGGCTATTACGACTATTAACTTCCTGCAGCTCACTTTTTTTTATATCATCGAGTCCACACTACTAAATTTTTTTTATTAACTCCAGAACTATTGCTCTCAAATTAACTCATAAACGAATGTAGTTTTTATTGAAGTAATATTTCCTTTTTTACATTTAATTATAATTAGAAATTTAGAAAATCAATCATTTTAAACTTATTATTTAGAAATTCCGTATTCTCCAATTTTCTTCAATTTTCTACCAAACATTACTTTTATTACTTTATTATTATACAAATTGAGAATAAACTTAAATATTTATTTAAATAAATTTTAGAAATTACATTTTTCCAAATCGACATTTTAACAGTTCAAATCGATAATTTCAAACTTATTTTTGAGAAATTCCGTATTCTCTATTTTTCTTCAATTTTCTATCAAACATTACTTTTATTACTCTATTATAACAAACTGAAAATAAACTTAAATATTTATTTAAATAAATTTGAGAAATTACATTTTTCCAAAACGACATTTCAAATCGATAATTTCAAACTCATTTTTGAGAAATTCCGTATTCTCTAATTTTCTAAAATTTTCTACCAAACATTACTTCTATCCCTCTATTATAATAAATTGAAAAGAAAATTAAATATTTGCTTAAAGAAAATTCAGTAATTACAAATTTTCAATGATGATAATTTGAAGAAATTTTCATTGAATTATATTCATTAATTTTTTTCGTATATAATTTCGTGAATTTGCAGTATTAATTAGAGTGTGTGTGTGTAGATGAGACGAGTCGGAAAACGAGATTGGGAATCGGAAATATTTGCAATTTCATTAATTTCAATTACATCAATTTAATTTGAACGCGAGAACGGACTCTAATTAACTTGACGCACCTTTCCGACTGAATTTGTTTAATTAGCAAAATGGAACTTATTAATTATACCTACAGAGTTAAAAAGCCCTACAATTTATATTATTTACTTTTATTTACTCATTCGATTCATTAGTGAAATGTTAAAATAATTATGAGTTAATAAAAGAGATTATCCAAGTTTTTCACTATGGATTTGTAGTTATATAAAAAGTTTATATTAAATTAATTATAAATCTAGTATGTGTGTGATTACAAACGCACTAAATTAAACATGTTAACTGCGCAACGTTATTCATTTATTTATTTATTTATTTATTTATTTATCATGTTTTATGTTTGTTGTTGCTTGGAAACCGAATACTTCATCCATATATGTATTTATATATATAAAAGTGTGCGCCGAGTAAATAATGTATGAGAGATATAGAGAGAACGAAAAAACAAAAAAGTAGAGGTTTGTATCAGGTATTTATTTTCATTCGCGTCGCGGCGTTTCCACTTTGATCTTTCAAATCAAAACTTTTTCGCCGTAACAAATGCAGCACATATTGGTATAATATACATTTATTATATGAAATATTTATCTTATTAATTTTTATATTGTTATTCTATTAATTGTGTTATATAAATTTGTCTAGAATTTTGCGATTTTTCTAATATTATTAAACGTGTAAAACAAGTTGTCTATATTAACGAATGCTACAAATGTGCGTCAAAATGATACGCCATCTAGCGGCATTACAGAAATATGAGAAATAACACAATTTAAGAATGACGAGGTGGAGCGGTCGTTTCGCTCCGTCTTATTCATGCATAATTTGTTTTCGAGTGTATCGAGTGAAGGAGGATGTTGAAGAGGACAAGAAGTTGGGATCTGTGGGACCCCATCCCAATTTATTATGCGAATTACGGCGTTAATGTTGCATCGACCTCCGAAGAGACCCGGTTTTACTGCCGCCCGTAAATTCGCAATAAGCTGATCCATTTTCCTCTCCTTCTCTATTTATAACACTATTGCACTTAATTCGCGAGTTTAATTAGAGCTCTTGTCCGAACAAACGACTACAATTTTGTTTTATTTCCGTATTTCTTTTATTTGGCAGCAGCCTGCCTACAATTAATATCGAAATTAGCTTTGAGTCGCCTCCTTGTTGTTGTTGTTTTTTTTTTAAATTAATAATTAATGGTCGTAATTACAATTATTTATTAGCGCACGAATTTAGATGAGTGAAAATAGCTGGTAATTAAATTTAATTTGAATCTAGTGTGCGTTTCGTAACGAGTACGGTGACCAGTGCGGCCAACCTTTGATGATTTTGAAGAGGGCATCGCCTGGGCAATCGGTAGAATCGAACTGTCGGTGACCAATCAATCTATAGTTGGCCGCGATTTTTCCGTTGGCAACGCCGGATGACATTAGCTCTTTGATGGCGTTCAAAGCTTTGACGTTCGGAGCTCCATCTATATTTAAAAGAAAAAAATAATAATTGGAATTATTTGTTTAACAATTTTCTTTTTACTGTTGAAAGTTCCGATAACGCAAATTCCGATTGTTTTACTGTTTGGAAGGTTTGGACTTATTTCGTTTTTATCCCATCCTCGACCTTCGTAAACATTACCATCTTCTCCAACCTAAAATTAAGTTGATTATTCTCTATGTTATGTTAAATTGTGAATACTTACAACAAAATTATAGCCGATATCGCTCCAACCTTTACCATCGATATGCTCGTTCTGGTACGATCTCACCTTGGAAATGCAAGAGGTTTTGTCGTAGCAACTTGAAGATTTTCCGTGATGAATGTTTACGAAAGAAGCTGGTTTTATCACCTGATTTGGTGAATCCCAAACTGGAGGTCTTGCGCCCCATCCGCTTCTTGAAATTATATTCAAAGATTCTGCAAGGAAAATATTAACAAACAATGAATTCATAGTTTGTAAATAAACGTGTTACGTGTTGAAGTGAAATAATAGCAAAGTGCGAATAAGCAAATTCTGGATGTAAACATGTTTGCTTTTTACTAATTCACGTCGCAATGTCCAATTCAGGATTTTGTTTTGCTTTTATGTTTATCGGAAACCACTTGAGATTTTGTTTGTCGACAAAAATGTACTATTTTTACATCATGAATTTTCAAATTTTTCTATTCGATTCATTGAGTAATCAATTATCCGTAAATTATAAGTTTCTATTTGTGTTTAATTATAAATATGTACATTTTTTATACAATTTTTATCAAGAAAAATAATGTTTTTCCTTATATATAGCATAATTTTATGAAAGCTAATGAAAAGTGAACTAAAAATTAGTATTGTTAGTATTAGTAGTATATTGTTTATTTGTATGTATGTTCAAGGGTTGGCATGATCAGTTCATCTATTCATTGATCACGTTGTAGAAGGCTGTTCCGGGAGAATCAGTGTTGTCAACTTGACGATGTCCGACCAACTTGTAATTGGATTGAATCTTCTTTCCATTAGAAATACTATAAGCAATCAATTCTTGTACAAGCCACAAGATTTTATTCATTCTTATGAGTTAATCGCATGGCATAAATGTACACAGGAGGATGTAGTTGTTAAATTATTGAAAATGGAATAATCAAAGTTTTTTTGGGGGAATTATGATTTTTCTGAAATATTGTTTATTTATTTTCTTGTATGTAACGACTGTGTAAACAGTGACATCTTTCGGTTGATTGTGAGGGAGTTTTTCAAGGGTTGGCATGATCAGTTCATCTATTCATTGATCACATTGTAGAAGGCTCTTCCGGGAAAATAAGTGTTGTCAATTTGACGATGTCCGACCAATTTGTAATTGGATTGAATCTTCTTTCCATTGGAAACACCATAAGCGATCAATTCTTGTACAACTTGTAGACAAGTCAGGGAGAATGTAGATGTTAAATTATTGAAAATGTTCATCAAAGTTCTTTTTTTTCATATTTTTCTCTCTTCTTGTTGGGAATAAGTTAAATGATTGCATCTGTTGTAGCGGATTGTGTGTGCATTATATATTTATATATGTGTGTCGACCTTCTGCACAGCAAGTCTGAGCGTCTGCCTGGGTTTAATGCAGCCCGCTAGATCATTGGCGCCGGGGAACAATTTAATTTTATAACTAGGCATTTAGCCTAATAAAATGGAGTAGCTCGCAGTATTTTCACGTTTTTTTGTGCAGACCGAAGCGACTTCGTTTACGGTTTACGTAGCGAATGAAAGAAAGAAAGGAGGATTGTTGAAGGACGCGAAGAAGACTGCATTTATTATTTGCGAATCGATCGCCGCCGCCGCATCATCATCATCATCAATATTAATCGGCGAGGCGCCGATTCCCGAACGGAACGTGCAAACGCGAAATCATGTTTTATGTCCTCTAATTATGATATCGCGTATGTACACATACAAAGTTAATGCAATAATGGTTTCGAGTAAATCGACGCAACTTTCCTACGACCTCAAATTATCGACGCTCTTCATTACTATTACTATCACTACAACTACGACGTGTCACGTATTCATGCGTAGATGCTAAAATTTACCAAAACGAAAAGAAGTTTAAAAATTTCCAACTGCAATTTCAGATTGCTCGAAGTGCAGTCGTTCGTTCTTTCTTTTAAGATCACATTAGAATTTGTAATATCGGTGGAGTCGTAGATAATTATAACTCTTCGTGCAATTCAACCAAACTGCGGCGCAGGCAGTTTAATATTATCACCTCCATTATAATAACCGATTTGCTTTACTTTTTTTTAATTGAATTTAATCGTCGAGTCAAGGATGAGAGCAAACACTTACTTTTTGTATATGAGTTGGAATTACTAAAAAAATTAGTTTGATAATGTTTTTGTAAATCATGAAATATTGGGTACCCCACGTTAGGATCCAAATTTTGTAAAAACATTTGTTAATTCATTAAAAACAAATGCATAAAATTTATAATTAAAAACAGTTGATAAATTTAAAAAAAAATGAAAAATATTAATTATTTTTTAACATGCTAATATATTCACGTACTACAACACTAAACCAATAATTAGAATCCTATAATCAGAGAGTCGAACCGAATCGAAAATCGTAAACCGAAAATAACCGAAATTTTTAACTGAACCGTAACTGTAACCGGAAGGAAAAATTGTGTTGGTCGGTCTATTGTGAATAGAGTATGTAAACAAATAATCTATAAGAAACATCGATGAAGTCTCTTTGAATTCTCTGAATTTTTCTTCAAAATAAACAAATAAACATAATAAAGAAAACCATCAAGGGAACGCTTAATCATAAATAGAAATGAATCCTCAATCACCACAAATCAACCATTGACTAATAAGAGAAAATCTGAAGAAGAAAGAGCAAGCACAAGTCTTGCGTAAGTAACATTAGAACAAACTCAACACCTTTTTTAATCACTTAATTAAAAAAGGATATTACTGTAAACATGACTGAAGAAACATTACAAAGTGCATGTGTTAAACTAGTTACTAATCAATTTTTATTTCTTTTGTATTTTAAATTTTATAATTGATAATTAAATACAAATTTGATATTGGACTTGATTTTAAATTTTAATTTCAACCGGAACCGAACCGGAACTGAACCGAAATTTTTAGACGAAACAAATAACCGAATCTGGAACGATAAACATTTACTTGGGACGTAACCGTAAACCGGAACGAAATTAATTTCGGTTCGACTCTCTGCCTATAATAAATGCATCTCTGCGGATGAAAATTTGAATTTGCTGAAGAAGTTATTCCATCAAAAAAAAAAAATATAGATTTACAGACAAACATCGCGTTGTGTGCATTAATAAACGCGCCGAAATGGAAATGTTTTCATCGGCTTTGTTTTCACACAAACCTTTTTGTTTTTTTTTTTGTTAGTTTTACATTTTTTTTCCACCCTTCGCATCAGATCGAAAAGGTTTTCGCGTTGATGATGGCGGAGGATGAAAATAAATAAATACCAGAGTGAAAACAACAAAAAAATAAACCAACAACAACAACATGCAAATACATAAATGCACACACACAAACACCTCGGACTAGAGGCGTTCGTGCTATTACGATTATATTTTTTTTATCCCTCGCATATTTCGCGGCCGCAAAAATTAAAGAAAAAAAAAACAAGAGTGCTATAAAGTGTTTAGCGATTTTAAATCGAGATCGTGGTGAGCCGGTGAGCAAAACAAGTGAGAATGAAAAAAAAGCTGCACGCACAAAGAGGAAGTGAATTTATGCTTAGCCAAAGCTAATCTTTTTACATGAGGAATTTATTCTTAAGCGACAAGAGAGTTTTTCATGAAAATTTTCTATTTTTTAATTGTTATATATTGGGTGACCAACGTTGATCGCCAACAAGATTTCTATATTATTAATAGATTGCATAGAGGTAGACACAACGAGATGACGGTCGAGGATGATCGCAAACAGGAGTAATTAACGTTTCCGTTCCGGTCGCGCGATATAATTCAGACCCTCTATTTGATGATGATGATGAAGATGGTGATGGTGAAGAGGCGGCGTCGACGGCTTCCGTAAGGAATCAATACAAGAGAACAAAAGAAAACTAAAAACAAAAACGAAAACCCAAACATTGCGGCGGCGACCACGACGGATCCGATAAATAAACTCTCGGCAAGAGTAGTCCCTCGAGAACATTTTCATTAATTAATTTTATCTGCACAGTTTCCACAGTTAATACTATGAAACGTGGACGAAGTAAATAAAAAAGAGGGGAAGAAAGAAAGTGAAAGTCTAAAAATAGAAGTTTATTTCTTGAGGTATCATTTAATCTATCATTAATCTAGTGTAGCCCTAAAAATTATAGTTATTTTTTTTGTAAATTTTTTCTTTACAGTTTCTTAACATAAGTTATTTGGTATTTGAAATGACGAAATACTACTCGCTTAGGAATTATAAGAGGCCCCACGTTGTGCGCCTTAAATTTTATTTTAGCTACAAAATTCATAGCGTTTTTCTTTTTTTAATTTGGTAATTAATCATCAATTAGAGGTTTTTTTTTTCAATGCGTTTTTATTTTGGTATTATGTTTTAAAGTAATTAATTAAGTACAGGTCATAGATTTAAGGACTGGCTGTCCACTGTGGCCATCCCTTGATGACGTTGTAGAAGGCTGTTCCGGGACAGTCAGTGTTGTCAACTTGACGATGTCCGACCAATTTGTAGCCTTTTTGGATCTTTCCGTTGGAAACACCGTAAGCGATCAAATCCTTGACGGCCTTTTGAGCGGCGGCATTGGGGGCAGCACCTGTACAAAAAAAAACAAAACAAAACTCGATGACAAATCTTGCACACTTTACACATCAAGATTACCGTTGAAAGTTCCAGCAACGCAGATTCCGATGCTCTTGCTGTTCAATGGTTTGGCGTGAGCACCTTGTTTTCCCCAGCCGCGACCTTCGTAAACGTTACCGTCTTCACCAACCTGTAAATCCAAGTGATTAACTATCGTTTATTTAACAATTAATTGAGAAAACTTACGACAAAGTTGTAGCCGATATCGTCCCAGCTGTTGTCTGGTCCCATGTGATAATCCTGGAAAGATTTCACTCTCTTGATGCAATCGGCTTTGCTGTAACAGCTCGGACTGGAAGCGTGATGGACGACCACGTGAGATGGTGGGTTCGTCGGTAAATTGGTGACTTTCTTTGGTGGTTTTGCGCCCCACTCGCTTCTGCTCACGATTGTGAGGGAATCTATAAGAATGAAAATCGAGTATTTTCATGGTCTGAATTCTTATATTATGGAAACTCACGGGCTGCTGCGAAGCAGATGACTGCGAATACCAACACTTTGGACAACATCTTGTATCGATTTGATACTGCATCCTCGATGGTCCACAGCTTTTATAGTCCTAAAAACGGATATTTCTAGATATGAATCTCTAGATATGAAGATCACATCTCCAGATTTCGGTTTCCGTCAACTTATCGTCATCGTTCGAAGATAAATGCAAAAATTTGATGAAAAGATTTGCTAAAAATTAATATAAAATGTAACAGTTAGATAATCATCAATTAAACGTAAACATTGATTATATTTATTTTATTGAAAGAGAAAGAGTAAAACATAAGAAATCCACTTATTTCTATATATTGTCAATTTTATTTTGAATTTTGTGTTCGGAAAAAAATTATACTAATATCTACTTAATATTTATATTAATTCCAATTTGTTATTCACATTTTTTTTTTGTTCATTTTGAGCGTTTTCACTGTTTTAAAAATTACATTGGATATATTTTAAGGATATGAAAAACGCTGAAATTTTTATTTAAAATGTATTGGAAACATAATAATTGTAACAAAAAGGTCAATACTTAAAATAATACAATGACATTGTTTTTATAGACTTTATTAATATGCATTTTATTTTTATAATAAATAAAGCAAATATTTGAGATGAGAAAATATAATAATTATTTTTTTTTAAATTTGTATTTTCAAATAATGATTTGAATTTCACATATTAATGATTACTTATTTCTATTTATTTCCAATTTGCCTGGTGTTAAATTTATAATATGTCTAGAAATCGAAAAGTTTTTTGTTGTTCGAGAACCGAATTATACTTAAGTCTACTTTATTTTCAATGTAGTCTATAGTACGAATGTTTAATTAATAGAAACAATGAAACAGAGGAATTTTTGTTCGCGAATCGTGGAAAATTCTATACTTATATTATTGGTTATCGTGTTTTTCCTCATCATTTAATCTATGATTATTACATAAAAATTAAAGTTCTTTTTGTAAAATGTTCTTAAAATTGTTCTTTATAGTTTGTTAACATTAGTTATTAGGCTTTATAATTGACTAATTACAAATCGCTTAAGAATTATAAGAAGCCCCACGTTGTGCGCCAAAAATTATAAACTTTCGTTTTATTTCAACTTCAAAAGACATAGCATTTTTTTTTTAATTTGGTAATTAATCATCAATTAGAGGTTTTTTTTCAATGCGTTTTTATTTTGGTATTATGTTTTAAAGTAATTAATTAAGTACAGGTCATAGATTTAAGGACTGGCGGTCCACTGTGGCCATCCCTTGATGACGTTGAAGAAGGCTGTTCCGGGACAGTCAGTGTTGTCAACTTGACGATGTCCGGCCAATTTGTAGTTCTTTTGGATCTTTCCGTTGGCAACACCGTAAGCGATCAAATCCTTGACGGCCTTTTGAGCGGCGGCATTGGGGGCAGCACCTGTACAAAAAAAACAAAAGAAAACGTTGCTCGATGACAAATCTTACATCAAGATGATCAGATTACCGTTGAAAGTTCCAGCAACGCAGATTCCGATGCTCTTGTTGTTCAATGGTTTGGCGTGAGCTCCTTGCTTTCCCCAGCCGCGACCTTCGTAAACGTTACCATCTTCACCAACCTAAATAATGAAATTATCAAAATTTGCTCATAAAAGAAAATCTTCTAATTGCACTTACGACAAAGTTGTAGCCAATATCAACGTAGTTCTTGTCTGGTCCCATATGATAATCCTGGAAAGATTTCACTCTTTTGATGCAATCGGCTTTGCTGTAACAGCTCGGACTGGAAGCGTGATGGATGACCACGTGGGATGGTGGGTTCGTTGGTAAAGTGGTGCTTCCCTTTGCTGGTTTCGCACCCCATTCGCTTCTGCTCACGATCGTGAGAGATTCTGCAAAAACGAGAATCAAGTATTTTCATAGTCTGAATTTTTAGTCTTTAAATTGATGAAAACTTACGGGCTGCTGCGAAGCAGATGACTGCAACTACCAACACTCTAGACAACATCTTGTATCGATTTGATACTGAATCCTCGACGGTTCACAGCTTTTATAATGCCAAAAACGGGGATTTAATTTCCAGATTAACGAATGCAAAATCTGATAGGATTATTGTTTTTGGTGATTTTAGATTTACGATTATTACAGATCGAATCAGTGCGTCACATCAATGTTTTGAACGTTCCAAAAATATTTGATCTAATTTTGATTCGATAATCTTTACGATAAAAAAAAATCGAAGCCAATCATCATTTCCTCGTCAAAACATTACATGCTTATTTTATTTATAACATCGATAATGATTTGTTGTTTAATGATTTCTCTGCATAATTATTATCGAATTTCAATTTGTTGAAATTATTGAGTGGAAATTACAGCTAATGTACATCATCGTTTTCTCGTTCGAATTAACCATTAAACAGTGATTATGTAAGCTTAATTTAATTGGCAATTGACGTTTCGGGTTTTGATCCGGATTAGGATAATTAATGTTATTGTTTTCGCTCAAATTACCAAAGATTTCCGTTATTTTTCATAGAAGTACGTTTATCAAAATTTTATATTTCTCTATTAATCCAAATTATTTGTACTAAATTTTATTATTCAAATGGAATTTGTAAAGTTTACGTTTCTGGCAGTCATCACCTATTAATACACTAGAAGATATAATCTATTTCCGTTTCGGTTATTTACGAGTGCGCGAAGGAAAAATTGACGAAAAGAAAATCATTCTTTTGGAGATTTTCAAGCAAAAAGAATAAAAATAAAATAATAAAGGATCCATCCATCCAATTGCGTTTACATCCTTCCTGAATTATGAATATTTCCGCCGAAGTTCAAATAAACTCTCGCCGCTTCTGTACACATCGTTCGCATCGATTTATTATAAATAACGTAACGCGTTTAACAGGAAAACCAGTCTGTTTTTGCGATCTTCACCTCGATTCTAACAAATAATAATTAAATTATTTAAAGAATATTGTTTTGCAAGGATAATGACAGTCAGGCGTACCAATTATTTATAGTTATCATGGAATTCAAAGACGTTTATATTGGAACTGTCAATTGGTTGCTATGGTATTCAATGAACTGTCAATTACAATTTCACACAGAGTTGCCATATTTACATAGGATTCTGTTAACATTTATGAATCAAAAACTTAGCAGTTATTTGAGAAATTAAGGTAATTCAAAAATTTAAAAAAAAACTTCGTATGATAAATAAAACTTGGTAAAATTACTATACTGTTTTTGGATTTACTTACCTGTCATAAAATTTGACATTTATATTGTCAATTGGTTGCAACATTTCTTTTATTACTTTTCAATCATTTTTTTTTTAATAAAAACAAGTTATAATAAGAAATCTTAAGTCTTAATGAAATCAGCATTATTTAAAGTTATCTTCGTCTATAAAACAGTTGAAGTTGCAGGAAAAGCAATATTGTCTTTTGTTTGGTAATAAATGAAGCGCGAAGCAATAAACTTGATTTCTTTTCCATTTTATTTCTTCCTTTCTTTACGTTTCGAATCCGTGATTCTTTTCAATCCACCTTCCACGTATTAAGGAAATATTTGATATCCACGATTATTATTTTTCCCCGATAAAGTTCCGAGAAAACTCTTCTCATCTCTCTCTCACTCAGTAATCCCTCAACACGAATCCGAAGGGATGAATAATAACTCCGAGGCGAACGATTTTCCCCTTTCCGTTTCTTTTCCGAACCTCAATCGAACCGACTTTTATGTTGACTCCATTTATAGCAGAAGAAAAACGGAACGAAGTGACAACTGTGTCTTCAAATGTCTGTAATAACTAGAAACTGTATAGTAAATTTCTTTATGAAAATTTGTTTATGAATCATGTTTACTAATTATTCAAATCAAAATGATCGAAGGTTGCTAAGAACAAAATTATAGATGTCTTGCTTTGATCGATTTTTATATGCATAGATTTTCCTTTTAATTATTTAAATTAGTTTAAAGTTAGAATGATATATTTTATTAAATTTAATTCGTAAAGTATAGAGAATTGAACAAATTAATAAATAAAAAGTAATACAATTTATTTGTTGGGTTTTATGGGTTTGCTGCGTAATTTGGCCAAGTTTTGATGATATTGTAGAAGGCTTGTCCGGGACATTTCGTGCCTTTGACCTGTCTGTGACCGACCAATTTGTAATTGGATTGAATCTTTCCGTTGGCAACTCCATAAGCTATTAGTTCTTTGACTGCATTCAAAGCCGCAGAATTTGGTGAAATATCTAAAAAAACACATAAACATGATTTATATAAAGTAGATTAACTAGTTTATGAATTACCATCGAATCTTCCAATGACGGAAATTCCAATGCTCTTCTCGTTGTAAGGAGCTGCGTGAGATCCTTGCTTTCCCCAACCTCTTCCTTCGTAAACGTTTCCATCCTCGCCCACCTATTAAATATTTAGATTTATTTGCAAGTTCTTCTTTGGTATAACTTAACTTGAAGTTTAAACTTTAATTGTTTAACAAAATTCATCAAAATATATAAATTTTGAAAAAAATACTGAAAAAATCTATAATTTTGTGATTGATTGAACTTACGACAAAGTTGTAACCGATGTCACTCCATCTCCTATTATTGATATGATCCGCCTGGTAGATCTTCACTTTCGCCGTGCATTTGTCCCTCGTTGTGCAGGGATTACTGTCTCCATGGTGAATGATCACGTGAGATGCTGGATTCACGGAAAGCGGAGTCGGTGCCCATCTGGGTGCCCTCGCGCCCCATTCACTCCTCGTTATTACATTAAAACATTCTACAATCCAAAAAAAGAACACAAGAAAATTATGGTCAAATTAATTTATATTACTGTCAAACAAATGTCATAATTGTAATGTTTACAGTGATATTGAATATTCGTTAACGACGCCATCTATCTAAATAAAAAGTACTAATGTAATTGCAAAAGTGCAACAGTTAGAAAATGTAATAAGATTGTGATATTGTCAAACAACGTCATTTATGTGAAGAGTAAACAAATGCAATAGTTACAGTTAAATTTGACATATGTCAAAGTAATATTTATAGGTTAAAATAAGAAATGAGACATTTAGATTCAATTGTTTAATAAGAAGAAAATAAATAAGTAAGTTTTCAATAACAAAAATAATTATTCAAGTTAATATGAAATTAATTTAAATAAAACTTGATAGTTTTTTTTTTACAAATTAATTGTTAAATTAAATTAATTATAACTTTTCTCGATTTATTAATAAATGTCATAATTGTAATGTTTATAGTGATATTGAATATTTATTAACGACGCCATCTATCTTAATAAAAAGTACTAATGTAATTGCAAAAGTGCAACAGTTAGATAATGTAATAAGATTGTGATATTGTCAAACATCGTCATCTGTGTGAAGAGTAAATATATGCAATAGTTAAATTAAATTTGACATATGTCAAAGTAATATTTATAGGTTAAAATATGAAATGAGACATTTGGATTCAATTGTTTAATAAGAAGAAAACAAATAAGTTTTCAATAACAAAAAAAACAAAACAAAAATAATTATTCACGTAAATATGAAATTAATTTAAATAGAACTTGATAGTTTTTTTTCTTACAAATAAATTGTTAAATTAAATTAATTATAACTTTTCTCGATTTATTAATAAATATCATAATTGTAATGTTTACAGTGATATTGAATATTCATTAACGACGCCATCTATCTAAAGAAAAAGTACTAATATAATTGCAAAAGTGCAACAGTTAGATAATGTAATAAGATTGTAATATTGTCATAGAACGTCATCTGTGTGAAGAGTAAACAAATACAATAGTTAAATTAAATTTGACATATGTCAAAGTAATATTTATAGGTTAAAATAAGAAAGGAGTCATTTGGATTCAATTGTTTAATAAGAAGAAAACAAATAAGTTTTCAATAACAAAAAAACAAAACAAAAATAATTGTTCACGTTAATATTAAATTAATTTAAATAAAACGAGATAGTTTTTTGAATTGTAAAATTAAATTAATTATAACTTTTATTAATAAGTATTGATATCAGTCAAGTTTATTGAATTTCCTTCATCTGCTTTATTTTTAAAAGCAAAATATAATTGGAATGTTGTTTATTGTTCGAAGCAATCACTTTTGTAGTCCATAAAGACTATATTTAGAGCGGTTCAGATACGATGTATCAAAGTCCGCGATGCTGATCGTAGCAATAACTAACCGTTAGTTAACTGCTGGTTAGCAAACACTCTGGTTAGCTTTAATATATCCAAATGTCCTTTCAATTGTTTTCTACCTTTTTGGGATGCATTTAATCATTTTTTGTTATTATTTTCAATAGTCTTTTCTTACAATACTTGTTAAACAAATGATTTCTATAACGGAAAAATCCTACTTGATTTTGTTTTTTTTTTTCTCTCTCTCTAAGAGTATTGCACCAGCGTTGCGGTTTTGTTTTGACAATGGAGGATGTGATTTGATGTATGCAAATACGTTTGTTCTTACCTGCGAACGAAACGACGCAGAGAAGAAACACGAAAGAACACTTGTAGAACACCATGTTATCATCAACGGCACAGAGGAAGGAATAAGCAATGAGATGATGCTGCTGCTGCTGCTGCTGCGGCGCCCGTCTTTCCAAACGTTTATATAACGGACTTTTATCTCTTCTCTCGGCACGCCGAGATCCCCACAATCTGCTTCATTTCTTGCTTATTTCGTTTTATTTCTTTATTTTCTCGTTCTCATGATGCTGTTTCGTCTTTATTATTTCCACTGCCGCTAACAGATTCGGGTATTTTTATGTTCCCAAAGGTCATGTTTCTGTTTGTTTCAAAAATCTTCTCTTTCTCTCTCTCTCATTATTACGTGCAGGATCGTAGCGTTCCGAAACAAGTGTACAAAAAGAAAAGAAACAAATGAACACCGGTAGCAAGAATTTTCACGTGCCCGAGGCTCCGTTTCGGGGATTTACCTTTCTTTAGCATTACAAATCCGCTTGTTAAATCCATTAATAACGACCAAGTATTATTTATTTGTTCATTACTCATTCGACGTCTGGTATTTCCAGCCTTTTTCTATTCATTCACTGAATGAAACACTTAATAAATGCAACTCATCGTAATCTAGCTTAATAAATCCACAATTTTTAACTAAATAATAAAACAAAATATAGTTTAAATGTTTTAAAATACTTTAAAAATGTCAACAAATGCAAAACAATTGAAAATTAAGACTCAAAACTTTAATTATAACTGTCAACAATTTTGTTTTTAATTTGAATATACGATGTTTTCATCAAATTCAGCATGAAATTAAGATGTTTGTATTTTCACGCATCAACGTTTAGCAAAAATTAAATTACTCGAATCACACTGAAAAACAGTCTGGATGTGGCAATTAATTGCGCTTCTCCGCCGCTTAATTCAATTACTTTTCCTTTCCGTTTAATTTAATGCGACGTAACCGCAACCAAATCTTAATTCAGCGCAAAATTACTCAAAGATGGCACTGCGATCTTCGTGATTATGTAACCTTCAAAGTCTGCGTGAAATCGTGGTTGTTTATACATGAATTTGTGTGTCTGTTTTTTTTTGGTGTTGTAAGATTATATAAAGAGCTACAGTCTTGAATTCAGAGTGATTTATTTAAATGAACTTGGACTAATGCGTGTACAAAAAAAAGGTTTAACAACTTATTTAATGCTGCGCAGTTTCAACAAAGTTCTTTATATTTATTTATTTATTCGTTTATTATTATTATTGCTGTTGTTAAACGTCGTCGTGTACGTTAAAGTTCGTCACGCGATTCGCTCTTTTAAAACAAACGAGAATAGAAATAATGGAAGTACATAAATAATTATCACCTACTTTCTTATTTGTTTATTTTATGAATAAGTTTTGTTTATTTTACTTTATTGGTCTTATTTTAGTGGTTATTTATTTTAAGATTAAGAAAATGAAAATTTTGCTTCTTAAATTTTATTTCACAGACTTTTTTTTTGTCTACAAATATTTATATAGTTTCATAATTATTGCTATAAATATTGTTTTTTTTTTAATTAGTTATCGCAAAAATAATGTAAAAGAAGATAAAATTTTAAATTTTTTAAAAATATTACAATTATTTGTAATTATTTAATCAGATATTCGCAATATTATCGACGCATCCGTTATAATTTCGATAATAAATCCATAATAACACGGAATTTTCAAGTGGTTTATTTGTAAGTTTTTTTATCTCTATAAACAAAATTTATTTCTTAATTTTGACCTAATGCGGACGACCGGCGGATATATCCGCCCAATCCTTTACACAGTATAGATTTCGTTTATATTGCGAAGGCCACTGTGATGAAGCAGCCGCGGCGTCAAAAAAACAATTGAAATGATTAAAAATACAAATTTCATGGACTTTCTGAAGATTTATTGTTTTATGGTTTGTTTTTCTACATTCGAACTGCTGAAAATGGGTACGTGACGTACAGTTTCTTCTTATCACGAACTTCTTGAGCAACTCAACAATATAATAAGTATAAGAAACAAAAACGAAAACAAGTTTATAAATAAATTTAAAAAAATAAAATATGTATCATATATACGCGATAAACAAATGCGTCTTCAATGACGTAATGCATCTTATCGAAATGTGAACTAAATGAAATATTTTTGTTTGAGAAATTTAGCTTTTAGTGGTTAAAAGTTTTATTCAATTCAATTTTTTGTATGAAGATTTCTACGAATGATATATTGATCCCTACTGACAATGACGAAATAATCTAAAAATTATAATATATTAATTATTATTACATTTGAACTAATAGTTCGTTTTCATAATTGCAATTACCACTATAAAATACGAAGAGTGTTACCAAGAGACACAAGTTGAAAATCATGATCATTTGTTTCTGAATTTTGTGCAAACTATAATCTTGCACACTACTTGCTCTCAGCTTTATAATAATAATAATCCTTATCAATTCTCAGGTGAATGTTTATTTGTTGAAAACATCGTAATTTTAAAAGGAACAACAAACGTAGAAATATTAGAGTAAATATAAAATGAAAATATTATTAACTAAAATTGTAAACAAATAGAACGTAATAATTTATATCTAATCGCGATTCTATGAAATATTTTACTAGTTCTTAGTTATAGATATGTTTAATGTTTGTTTTGGCTTATATTACGAAAAAGCTTGTACATTTGGCTTTAATTAGAGTGTTCATATTTATAATTAGTATAAGTGGTTATATAATAATACTATAAAAGGTGAAGACATTGCAATTTGAAGACTTAAAAAATATGACAACTTTGACAACATATTGTAGGAAGACGGTAATAGCTACAAATCTCGTAGTTGATTCATATTAAAGCCGATATTTTCTACTTTAATTATACTATTAATACTTGTAATTAGTATGAGTGGTTTTTGAATAATTCGCAAAAATTTAAAGTGTAAATTAAATAAATATAATTATTCAACTGGAAAACGTTACATTACATGACCGTTCGTCATCGATCAACCGTGCGTTTCCTCATCGTTTCTTTGTTTAAATTAAACACCTAACGTAACCTGCAATCTTCATTAATAATCGTTTCGAGTGTTTTACGGCCGTGCCGGCATTTAAACGCGCTCTATAAATACGCGCAGTTTGTATATGCTAATGCCAAAGTTATGCATGCATCTGAAAATGTCCTTTTCTTTTTGTTTCTATTTTAAATTATAATTTCATGCTTTAATCGACGATTTATTTTTCTGTTTCAGGTGGGTTTCTTTCCTCCGTCAAGTCCCCCAAGCACTAATCTAACATCATTCGGCGTAAGTAAACTAATAGCAACAAAAAAAAAATACTGATTTGCTCACGTAAAAATCTTGCTTTTTTGTTTTGCAATTTTCTCAAGTTTTCTTGTCAAATAGATTTAATGAAATTGTTACAAAGTTATCTATTTAACTTAATAGAAAATAAATAGAAATAATATCAAATTTAAAAGTTTGAAGTGTACATCTATATGTAGATTGTTTGATTAATTATCGCTAATTATCTAATTATCATAGAATGAGGTGAAGTGGAGTTAATTACACAAAGTTTGGTTTCAATAAATGTCGTTTAATAATTAACAAAAGTCAGTTGTAACAAAATGGTCAATAATAGATGGCGTTCGGGTGGTAATTGATTCAAGGGTTGGCGGACCAGTTCTTCCATCCCTTGATCACATTGTAGAAGGCTGTTCCGGGACAATCAGTGTTATCAACTTGACGATGTCCGACCAATTTGTAGTTGGTTTGGATCTTTCCGTTGGAAACACCATAAGCGATCAATTCTTGTACGGCCTTTTGGGCAGCGGCGTTCGGGGCGGCACCTATGATCAAATAAATGAAACAATTGATAAATATAATCGTTTTGTTTTTAAATCAAATTACCGTTGAAAGATCCGATGACGCAGATGCCGATGCTCATGCGGTTCAAAGGGACGGCGTGAGCACCGTGTTTACCCCAACCTTGACCTTCGTAAACGTTACCGTCTTCACCGACCTTTTAAACAAAGTTAATCTTTTACGAATTTAATGCTTCAATTTTGTTGAAACTTACGACAAAGTTGTAGCCGATATCGTTCCAACCGTTACCATCCATATGCCAATCTTGATAAGACTTAACTCTGGAGGTGCAGGCGGCTTTGTTGTAACAGCTCGGACTATCGCCGTGATGGATGGCGACATGGGACGGTGGATTCACAGCCAAATTGTTGGAAGCCCATTTCGCTGGTCTCGCGCCCCAACCAGCTCTAGAAATGATATTCAAAGACTCTAAAAATCAAAAAAAAAATAATTCAATTAACAATCAAATTTTATAAATTTTCAATAGAACAACTTACGGGTGGCTGCGATGCAGCAGATTGCGAGGATGCAGATTTTGGCGAGCATTGTTCTTGTTGCCTCGAGCGTTTCAACTCTGATTCGAAGTTGGAAATACCTGCGATATTTATACCGGACGAAAGCCGATTATCGATATATTCGATTATTGCGATTCGTGATTCCGTACTTTTCGAGATACTCAAATTCCCAATTTCCTAAATAAGATAATCTGAGAGTTATACATATATATTTGTATATATTTTTTATATAATAAAACGCAAATTTCAAACAACTTTTACACAACAATTTCATATTTATTTTCAGAATTAAATTTAATATTTTATGATTTATTTATTTTTTTAAATAAATTTTATTGACAATTACAACAAATGTTCATAATTAATGTGTATTTTCAATGATAATATGCAACTAAATAAGATTTAGAGACAAAAACAACGTAATTACAAATATTAGACTAAAGCGCCATCTTGCGTACGAATTATCAATTAATTATAGTAAATTTTTAACCAAAATTCGGCAAATTCCATCACTTTCAATTTCAAATTATACGATGTTTAATTTCCATTATTATTAATTTCAAAAGTAATTAATTTATTTAAAAAAAATATATTTTTTCACGATTGTTTTTTAAATTAAAATTACAATAATAAAATAACATTTGAAATCAATGAATATATACAAATACATGAAATTTATGGGAAAACATAAGTAATTAAAGAAATCGACTACAACGCCATCTAGTGCATTGAATTCGTTGATTTCAAATGTTCCTACTAGATTTATTGTCATCTAATGCTAAATTAATTACTTTTTGATGTCATTGATACAATTTTTCTTTATATGGATAATTCAATTATATTTCTTGAGTGTAATTGTCACTTTGCTTACAAATTGCGTAATAATTGAGAGCAATCCTCAGTTAGACTTAGCATCTCCCTCTCTTCATTGAAGTGTTGGAAACGATGGAATTGGTGCATGGATTTGGTCGCGTTTAGTGGATTTAGCGAAGGCAATCCAATCCGAATCCGGCGTCAACTCGTCGATCGTCAAGGCCCCACCGAGCAGCAATTTGTAATCAGAACCGATCAGCCCTTGCTTCACACCGTGCACAATCTACAAAATAACCGCAAATTACGCTCAGCGTATGCCAATCACCCGCACGGATCATCTTCAAATCGATGGATTAACGCAGCGATTTACTAAGCAATGAAAGAAATAATTTTAGGTTAGGTAACTTAACCTAACCTAAAATTATTTGATTTTTTTTAACCATGATTTTGTAAACAATATCGATGAAAAGTGTGGAAGTTTATTGAGATATTCTTAAATGAAAGAAATGAAATAAAAATTTAAAGTAATCTAACCTAACTTAACCTAACCTAAAGACATCTACCATTGATGAAGATTATGAAAAGTTATGGAGATTCTTATATACCTGAATTGACACTATTAAATATATTTTATGATTTATTTATTTTTTTAAATAAATTTTATTGACAATTACAACAAATGTTCATAATTAATATATAATTCAATGATAATATGCAAATAAATAAGATTTAGAGATAAAATTATTTGATTTTTTTTAACCATGATTTTGTAAACAATATCGATGAAAAGTGTGGAAGTTTATTGAGATATTCATAAATGAAAGATATGAAATAAAAATTATAAAGTAATCTAACCTAACTTAACCTAACCTAAAGATATCTGTGTTTCTACCATTGATGAAGACTATGAAAAGTTATGGAGATTCTTACATTCCTGAATTGACATTATTAAACAATTAGTTTCATTATAAAGATTCTATGTAAATTTGGATGAAGATTATGTAAAGTTATCATTATATAAAGTTAACCTTAGATTACTTAACCTAAAATAAACTGTTTTATCATCAATAATCTATGGAAATTTTATATATTTAAGTAATGAAGTGAGAGTTATGTTTAAGAAAGTGTTTTTTTTTTAATAACAAAATTAACAATTTATTTAAATAAATAATAAAAGGTACAAAACGAACCGATATAAATATTACATGGTGAAAAGTGAATATCTTAAGATTCTTTGATTGGCGGATGTTCGATCCAACGCGCCCAAGTCTTGATCTCGTTGTAGAAAGTCTTTCCCGGACATTCCGTGGCCGACGTCTGCCTGTGTCCAACCAAACCGTAGCTCCTGCTTATCCTGTTCGTCTTCATGCCTTCGGCAATCAAATCCCGGAGAGCGTGCAGAGCTTTCTCATTTGGAAGCGTATCTGAAACGGGAACATAACAAAATCGATTACAGTTTCAGTAGAAAAGCAATAAAGTCAATAATATATATATATTTATATTTATTGCTTCTTTCACTCACCGATGAATGTGCCGATAATACAGATTCCGATGCTTTTGTCGTTCAGCGGTGGCGCATGTGCTCCGGTCACCCCCCAGCCGCGACCCTCGTAGATGTTCCCGTCTTCTCCAATCTTTAATAATAGAAACGAGAACACTTGATTTATTTTCATAACATTTATTTGCAGACTTTCCTCATTTCAATGGATTGATTGATTGATGAATACACAATCGGATTTTCAACCAATTAAATTGGTTTTTATATAAGACTTTGTTTATATTGCTAAGCAACTGAATCATCTCAAATTAATTTGAAGTGTGACAACAATTCAATTATTTTTTATAAGATCAACTAATGTTGCTAAGCAACAGACCCAATTTATATAATTGAAAATAAATAATATAACATATTGAATTAACACTTTATATAATTTAGGTTAAAAGTTCAAAAATATTTTAATTTTTGATTTTTTTTTGAAATGAGAATTCTAGTTGTAAACTTACGATAAAATTGTATCCTATATCGTTCCATTCATTCTGATCGATATAATACACAATCGTATTTTCAACAAATTAAATTGGTTTTTATAAGCCTTTGTTTATATTGCTAAGCAACTGAATGATCTCAAATTAATTTTAAATGTGACAACAATTCAATTATTTTTCATAAGATCAACTAATGTTGCTAAGCAACAGATCCAATTTATACTCGTTGAAAATAAATAAAATAACAAATTGAATTTACACTTTATATAATTTAGGTTAAAAGTTCAAAAAAATTGTAATTTTTGATTTTTTTTAAATGAGAATTATAGTTGTAAACTTACGATAAAATTGTATCCTATATCGTTCCATTCATTCTGATCGATGTAATACACAATCGGATTTTCAACCAATTAAATTGGTTTTTATAAGACTTTGTTTATATTGCTAAGCAACTGAATCATCTCAAATTAATTTTAAATGTGACAACAATTCAATTATTTTTCATAAGATCAACTAATGTTGCTAAGCAACAGACCAATTTATACTCGTTGAAAATAAATAATATAACATATTGAATTTACACTTTATATAATTTAGGTTAAAAGTTCAAAAAATTTGTAATTTCTATATATTTTTGATGAAAAAATGAGAATTATAGTTGTAAACTTACGATAAAATTGTATCCAATATCGTTCCATTCATTCTGATCGATGTGATAGTTTTGGAAACCTTTGACTGCGCCCTTGCATTTCGCTTTGGTGGTGCAACTTGGGGTAGCCGAATGATGGATGACAACGTATGGAACTGGTTCTTCGGTCAAGGCGATTGGTGGATTCTCCGGAGTCCTCGCCTTCCACTCCTTCCTCGAAACAATGTCCAAATCACCATCTGCAGAAACAAATCCCCAGTTAGCAACACTCTTTTAAAAAAAAAATGTATATATTTTCTTTTTACCTTTGAACAACTTCTTCAGTTTGAAAGGGCTGCAATTCGCCCCAACAACGAAAAGAAGTACACCAACTAAAAACACGACGTTCTTCACTGAAGCCATTGCGAATGTGAACTGTGCAATTCTCCAACGCTGAACCTCGATTATATACATATGGTAATTGCTACTATAGCGAGTTTTTTTTTTATTATTTATTTATGTAGTATTTCTTTTCGTATCTCACGATTACCAGGGAATCCCACCAATCGACGGACAAAAGTATGTTTTTCAACTATCTAGAGCGGGAGATAATCTTTGCGGTTCTTTTCTCGGACAAGATTACAAATTCTGACATTGACCTAACAAGTAAAGCAGCGTTTTTTTTATTTTTTTTTTAATGAATTGTAAACCGGTTATTTTTGCGTTTATCAATGACGCACTCGTGGATCTCCGTTTTTGGTGCACGAAACTTGGGGAACTTTAGTGAACTCTGTGGGGATTTTTTTTTCTTAACTTGTTAAGAACTTATTTGGAATTAGAATTATTTTGATAAGTGTGATTAAATACTGGTGAATCCCGGATTAAGTTTTGAATTCTCTTGCATAAAAATATTATTGAATCATTTCTTAATAGAAACCTTGAGTGAAACGAGTTTTTCAACGTTGTGTTAAATCCTATTGATTATTGCTTAACGTTAATTGCATAATTACATATTTCCTCACACATATAAATATTAATGTTTATCAAAGACAATTATTTTTACCGGATTCCTTCATGACCCAATCTTATTAATCATCATTTTCTGTTCAAATATTATAAAATAAAAATTTACAATTTAAAAAGAAAACATTTATTTATAATAAGAATTGTTTATATTGTTTAGTCAATTTCTAATAGATTTTACCAAGAAAATGGACATTATTAGAAATTATAGAAAACATATTCAAAACAATTCATATTTTCAATAATTCTCAAAAAAAAAAACTCATAAAATACACTTAATTAATAAAGATATAAATATCCTTAATTATGATCTGAAATGTAAACATAATCAATTAATTACAACTTAACAAGAAGTTTATACACTAAATTGAATGAAACTCTTTGTGTAGATTAAATACTACGAATTAAGGTAATTCCTTGGACGAAATATGTAACCTTGTGTATTTTATATGCTCGAATAGATAACGTTTTCTCAATATATGAATATTCATAATTTCACAGCTATTGCACACTTTGTTTCGTCATTTCTACTAATTATTATTCGTTATATTTTAGCTAATTAATGCAACAAAAAAATGTGATTTTAGTGCATTTTACTCTTTTAATAAGAAATATTGCAGCAACATTAATAAATACGATATTTCTTCATTTTACAATTTGCAAGTTCGAAGTCTGCTCCGTCTCATCAATCACTTCTTTTTAATGGTGCGAGAAGGCAGTTCGTGAATAAATGGTATTTCCTTTCTGCAGGGGTAGGAAATTACGGAGAGAATACGCACAGATTTAAGTAATATTTAGCGGAAAGTTAATTTCCGCACAGAACAGAGAAAACAAATTGTCAACATTAAACGATTTTTCATCTGAATTGTATAGTTGTATAGCTATGATTTAGTTTCGTAATGAAATACGAAATTTCTCGTATATTCATTCAAGTTTTTGTAAAATAAATGAAATAGTTTTAAAAGAATTATAAAATTACTTCACAAATTAGTATATTGAGAGAATTTTAGTGAATGGGACTGGAAATTGTTTGCTTGGATGAAAATTTTGTCTAATTTTTCAAGTTTTTCTTTTCTATAAATTTTGGTGAAAACTTATTGAAAACAATCAAAGTTTTATTAAAAATAAAATGACTATAATATAAATGTTATTAGTATCTTTGCTACTGAAACAAATTGTGATGATTGGACTGATAATGGTGCCTTGAGGAATGCCAACTAAATCATGCTGTTTTATAAATTTTGGGTAAAATTAGTCAACATTTTAACTGTACAACAAATGAGTGCTAATTTTTAGTTAAAAAGCAATATTTTAGTATCAGTGAATAGATTTATGTAATATTAATGAAGTTATATCAGTATATTAAATGTAATTGAGTTGTTATTTAAGTACGACAAACAAAGGAAATCTTGCAACTTCTTGGTATTAAACGAAGTTATTTATTTATCGCGCTATTAATAGTATCAAAAGAAAATCCCCCAACTAAATGTCCGACGACATCAATTAATAATATCCTTTTTTAACAAACAAAAAAGTATTACGTATGCAGTGTGTAATGTAACAAGCAGCAAAAGATATATATATAAATTTTCGCTACTCGAAAAAGCGGACGTATCTCCCGTTAATAATTGCTTTCATTTGTAATATTTCTCGCAGTTTTCCGCACGAACGGTGTCCGCTTTTCCGGCACGCGATTCGCAGCGATCGATTCGCCCGGAAAAGCTGCATCCCTTTCTCTACCTTTCCCTCTCTGAATCTATTTCTCTCTCTTTCTTTCGCATTGGAAACGTATAAACTGGAGGGACAAAACCGCGAACACTGCGTTTTTTCTTTTTTTGGTCTGTGTTCGAGGAAGAAACGTTTAATTCAATTTTCCGACCCAAAAAATTTCCACCAAAATATGGAAAACGCGAATTGAATGAATAAAAATATCTAAAATATTTATAAATAAGTCAATAAGTTATGAGAAAGTTTATAAAAAGTAATTGTCTCAAAAATGCAATATAAATTATTTATTGCGTCTTCATCATATTCATATTATTTTCTCTCTTTTCTTTTTGTTAGTCAGTCAGTGTGAATGCATCGGGGTGTTAAATTTTCGTGTGCAGCAATGGCAGATGTTTGGGAGTAGACTATGCGTTTTGTGTGAAGGGTGTAGAGTGAAATGCGGATGAACTGAACTATATACGTTCAATGTTTTCTCTCTTTTTCCCTCTTTCATTCACATCGAGATAAAGAGTGTGCGAGAGCGAGAATTTTTGCCCATTGTAGTCGAGTTGCGAGTGAGTTGTCAGTGAACGTTTATTCTTATTGCAATCTACACTACACTCTCGAATCCCCAAAAGTGATACAAGAACGTTCACAAACTAAATCAAAAAAAAAAAAAAAACTTATTCTCATATCAAGTTTCTATATTTTATTCAATACATTTTCTATTAAGTAACTTAAATTTGATTTTTTTTCCCTTTATTTGTTTAAAATATTGATTCTTAATAAACTATTAACAACAACAAAAGTATTCAAGTTTTTGTTGAGAAAATTTTCATAAATTTTTTGTTATAAAATTTTTGATTTTCATGTTTTAAATTTGATTAAAATTCGATGTGATTCGATGTAAGTTTGTAGCTTGAGTTTCTTAATCACGTTCGCAAATAAACTCGAGAAATGAAAGAAGAAATAAAAGGTGAAGAAGAAGCGGAGACAGTCACAAAGCGTTCGCAATATCCAAATTACAGAGGAAGGCAAAGAACTAAATAAAATGGAGCAGGAGCAGTTCGAGAATTACAATCGAACTCTGTATTTCGTGAGTGAAATAAAGGCGAACCTGGAAAGCGATTTAATTCTTTGATTGCTTTCCTTCGCTTCCAATGACTTCTTTCTTTATTTCTTTCCCTCTTTTTTTTTATATTTAACACTTCTTTCGCCGAGTGAATACATTTAATGCGTTGTAATAACGTGCACACCTTGCGGCGATATCGCGGCCAAAACCATCACCATTCACAATAAAACTGAATCCCTTTCAAGCGAACTTGAAGCGACCTGAAAGAATCGAAAACCAAAGTAATGCAGTCTTGCGAATTATCGAGCGAGAATTTATAATGTTTGGTAATTAATCATGTATAATATTTCGGTTAAAACTCGTTGATGGATGGATGGATGAAAAAGAAAAACTTAATTATTTCTCTATTCTTTTTAATTGTGTTAACTAAATGGTAATCGAGGTTTAAGTTTATTTCGGTGAGATTAAAACTAGTTAATTTGGTGGTTGGACGGTTCGCCGATAGATGGCGTACTTTTGCAATGTTCTAAGGATATGCCGACCAGTTGGGCCATCCTCTGATGTGATGGTACAGCTTGTATCCGGGACATTTGGTGTTCTTCAGTTGACCGTGCGCGACCATCCGGTGATCCCAGCTCAAGTGATTTCGCTCGACCCCGCATCCTATCAGACTCCTGAGGGCCGTCAGCGCCTTATCGCTCGGCATAATTGCTGCAAAATTAACAATCGAAAATTAGCTCTTCTCTAATGGCTTCAGGATTTACGCGAATCATTTGCGCAGTTTCCTTTCACGTCCCGAAAGGGTTGGAAAAGGATTACGGAATGTCCCGGCGCATCCACTTACACGTGAAATCTCCGATCATGCAGATTCCTATGCTCACTCGATCCAAGGACGTATTGTCTTTTCCCATCTTGCCCCAACCGACACCCTCGTACACATTGCCATCCTCTCCAATCTGCAAAAAAATGCAACTGTTTTACTACTAAAATAGAAATATTTATAGGTTAGTTTAGTTTCATAACCTATAAATTACATTAAATTATTACCAAAATACTATTATAAATATAAAAACACCTGATTTTAAATCAAACTGATTCTATCTTGTCTGATTAGCTTATGTCGAGTGTTAATTAAATGTCTCACTCACTTTCAATAGACGTAATTAAAAGTTGTTGATTTTTTTTTTATTTACGAGATAAGGAGTAAAAATATGGAGCTGTTTACATCCCGATTCGCATCTGGACGATTTGTTGTTTATATTTTATCTCGTTTGTCCCAAAACAACACAAAAAAAATACTAATAATTTTATATGTCGATCAAATACTGATGACAAATGTAAGAAGTGTGTCGTGCGGAAAACAAGGAATTCGATCGCAATGTCAGGATAAACGTCACTTTGACAGTATGATAATTTTAATTTTGAAAACGTCAATTTGACGGTTCAATAATTTGATTATGAGAAATGTCAATTTTACATTTGATGACAGATGGCTCTTAATATGATGTCTTAATGCAGTGATCGGCAAAGTGCGGCTCCAGGGCCGCTTGTGGCTCTTTGGCCCCTTAAGTGCACATATATTTATTAAGTATGAAATTTAGTTTTATTTAGTGTACTACTTATTAAGTGTAATAAAAGTTTACTAAACAAGTATTTGACTCTTTGGCTAATAAATTTGCCGACCACTGGACCTAATGGATGAGAAATAATACCAGAAAGTTGTATCCGATGTCCGTGTATCTGAGCCATTTGATGTGGTTCTTCTGGATGGACCTAACTATGGCCATGCAATTATCCTGGTTCGTGCAGGTCGGCGTCTCCGAGTGATGGAGGACCACGTGCGTCGCCGGATGCGCCCTCAGGGATGTCGTCTCGCCGGGCGCCGCTCCCCATTCAGCTCTGCTAATCACATTTGGACACACCCCAACTACATTCAACACAAAACAAACAGAAAACAAAGATATTCAAAAGTTTCTCTTTCGTTGCTAGGGACGCTTATCTAACTGTTACGTTGCTAAGGACGCTATCTCAGTTGTCAGGGACGCTTTTCGGACAATTGTCATAAGTTTCTTGAAAAAAATAATGAATTTAATTGAAAAATTATAATGAAAAGCAAATATTTTGTAATAAAATTATATGAAATGCGTTTTATTTAATTGGCAAGCAATGGAATAGGGCACAATGGAAATGTTTATTACAATTAGTCGTTACAATAATATTCAATAAAATCATTATTTCCGATGAAACAAGCTAATTAAAATTATCCTTCGGCTGATGTTAATTATATCATTCCTCTCTCTCTCTCTCTTCTTTTATTTTGTTTTGTTCTGCTCGTTGTTTTCATTCGAAAAGCGTACAAAACAAAACAAAAAAAATGCCAATTAATTGTCGAAACGCGCATTCATTAACTCGTTCGATTGTTTTTATTCTTCTCTTTGTTTTCGACGTGTTGTTTGATTTCGTCCCATTATCATTTCGTATTATTGTTACTATTGTTGTTGTTATTGTTAAAATTATTATTATTATTATTGCTGTAAGTGCGCCCCTTCGCGTTAATTCGGAACGAAATTGATCCTCATTAAATTTTAATTGAAATCACTCTGCTCGTACACACACATATCCAACACTGAATTCCGCCCACGCTTTGTTCGCAATTAGTTCATTTGTCACGCTTTATATACGTTTCGTTTTAGGTGAGATTTATCGTGCAGTTTAGCTAAACTAACCAATTTTTTTTTGGTTACTCACAATTCATTTAATTCAAGATTTATTTTTATTTTTTAAAAAGTATTATTATTTATATAATCTGACAAAATTTGAAGAAAATTTACTTTCGTATACCAGTTACTAGAAACGTCTACAAGCTTACAAGATTTTTGGCAAGGACGCCGTTGCGTTGCCATCGACGCTATACCAGTTGCTAGGGACGCTTCTTAGTTGCTAGTGACGCTTTACCAGTTGCTAGGGACGCTTCTTAGTTGCTAGTGACGCTATACCAGTTGCTAGGGACCTTCTTAGTTGCTAGTGACGCTTCTTAGTTGCTAGTGACGCTTTCCAGTTGCTATGGACGCTATTACATTATTATTAATTATATAGAAACCGTGTCTTTTGTATTAAACAATTATTCAACTTGTTTTATGTACATTCATCCTCCTCATACAGCGACTTTCTAGAATTATAACTTTGTTGAATTCTACATTTTATGTATACGATCTCCTTAAACTGAAAACCCATCTTAACTCACCTCCGCCGCCATATCTTGCACAATAAAGGTATCGTGTTTTTTTTTCTATTTCTTTTTCTTCTTCTAATAAATATAAACGTGTATTTACTCACGAACGCTTCCGACCAAGCCAATGGAAATAAACAGCGAAACGGTCGCAGACATCGTTCCAGTTTTATTGCTTCTTCCTACACTCTTCGGCGCGACTCTCACCAACTACTGCTGCTGCACCTTTGTGTCTATTTGTAAATATTGAACGAGTTACGTGTGCGTGTTTGCATTGCGTATATTGCATCCACATGGATGCAACGAAATTAAATAACACACAAAAAATATGGATGAAGAGGAGGAGAATTCTTAATCTGCAATTATCGCCAAATTGATTGAGCAACGAGACGACCACGTGCGCTCCGCTTATTGCGACTGCACTTGAACTCTGCTGCAATTTTTGGTGCAAATCAATACATCATTCTTGTTTTGCGTTTTACGTAAACACTTAACTGCTGAAATATCACACGCTCATTCAAAAACGACAGTTTTTTTTTTTTCCTGAAAATTATGTGGACAGTTTTTGTCCAACCAATTTTAATGTTTTTATATATTTTTAAAAAGTTAAACATTGTAAACATTAGTTCATTTATTTGTTTTTTTCGGTTTGTGTGTTTTCAATGAAATATAAAACTATTGACAACTATTGGAAATATTCGGTAAAGGTCTGAATACAACTTGGAGATTACATGTGTAAATAAATAAAACTAGGACTGTGTAAAAACAGATAGGAATCGAGAGAGAACTTGAGAAATGATAGAACACTTCCTCAGGACAATTCGACTCGCTTCCGTTTCCTTTCCTCTACTTTCTCTCTTCATCTCTATTGCTCGCATGTATTTTATGTAGTTTTACGTTTTTCTTGTTGTGTTTTCGAGCACTTGCCTGTTTTTGCTTCCGGCACTTGTCTAAACTTGTGCACACAACATCCTCGAAGACTTCGGTCTGCTTCTTCTTCTACTAAAGTTTGGAACGACGAATGAATGAATAAACCGACTTTTTTGTTTTCTTGCAGATTTGCGGTAACGAGAAGGACAAAGGGAAGCTGGCCGGACCGGACAAACGGAAAGCGGATGACGGCGAACCCAACAAGGACCTCAAAAAGGTAAGTCCAAGTAGCAAAAACCCAACGTTCATTCACGGATTTGCGCACTCCGTTCATCCCCGAGCTCTTATTAAAATTCAACAATTTGTTCACCCTAAAGCTTATTTCATATATAAATTTCTTATTTTAAATGTTTTTGAAGGATTTTTAATGTTTTTATATATCAAATCTTATTAAACGCTTTGATATTACCATAAATTTCGTAATACTTGGCTATACTTGATTAAAAACGTCTTATAAAGAAGGACATGTCTGGAACGCAACGAAGGCAATTACAGTTACCATCATCATCATCATCCTATCATGGTAATCAAAAACGGTCTTTAGGAATTTCGAAATTGCTTTTCGCCCCGACGCAACAAAGACTAAGAAAATTTAAAAAGAATTGAAGAAGAAAAAAAACAATGGAGAATCTCGTTAATGAATCCCCGGATTGATGATAATAATAATGCGGCAACCATACGTACACCTTCCCTATCTACAAACGGTGTGATCGTCTCGCTTTTCCTTTGATGCTTTCGCAATTAATTTTCAAAATGCAATTTAATTGCCGCCGCCGCCGCTTCTCCACTTCTCGCACTCTCTCTTTCTCTCTCTCTATACACGTGTGTGCGTTTGTGTCTTCGGTTGTGGATGAGGATTGGCGCAGGGGTGGCTCGAGGAGTAATTAAAAATAATTCGCCGCGGTTGCCGTAAGAGAGGGATGGGAAAGTGGGGTTTGGGTCGTAGGGCGCCCCATAGTTCGATTCTCTCCGACACCTATTTTAATGCCGTCCATTAGCCGCTTGAATTGTTTATGGCCTCGGATTATCCCGTTCGCAATTTCGTCCGTATCTCTCTCTTCACCTACACCTTCGCCCTTGATCCACAGTTTTTTTTTTCTTCATTAATTATTGGTGCAGTTTAATCCAATATAGTTAATTGTCTGATTAATTTATTCAAAAGAAGAAGAAAAAACGAGTTTTGCTCACGAGACTAAACTCAATTTGACGTTGACAGCTCAAGTCAATGTGACATTGATAGATGAACTTAATTTGACATTGACAGCTGAACACAACTTGACGTTGATTATTAATACATTGTTTTTACATAATTACCTAAAAACAAGCATGTTTGAAATTACCTAAAAACAAGCATTGATAGATGAAATCAATTTGACATTGACAGCTAAACACAACTTGACGTTGATTATGAATACACTGTTTTTACATAATTACCTAAAAACAAGCATGTTTTATTTACAATCACAAATTGGAGATTCCAATTTGATTACAGCATGAAATCAATTTGACATTGACAGCTAAACACAACTTAACGTTGATTATGAATACATTGTTTTTACATAATTACATAAAAACAAGCATGTTTGAAATTACCTAAAAACAAGCATGTTTGACATTGATAGATGAAATCAATTTGACATTGACAGCTGAACTTAATTTGACATTGACAGCTGAACACAACTTGACGTTGATTATTAATACATTGTTTTTACATAATTACCTAAAAACAAGCATGTTTTATTTACAAACACAAATTGGAGATTCCAATTTGATTACAGCTTGAAATCAATATTACATTGACAGCTGAAATCAATTTGACATCAACAACTAAATTCAAATTGACATTGACAGTTGATGTTATTTGACGGTGATGATGCTACAGTATTTTTGTTTTATAGAATTTTGCGGAATTTTTATTGAGTTATGAATGTATCAAGTATTAGAGATCTGAGCACAGCGAACATCGAAACGCTATTACTTAATGGAATACAATCCCACCCTCTTTAATTATTCAAAAAGCCAATGGCAATTGCATTTCGTGCAGGGGGGTGGGAGGGGGTCGGATGGACGCCACCCACAAGTTAAACGACCAATGGAAAATCACCCTTTCCCCGCCGCCTCCTCCTCCTCCACAGACACGACCGCCTCCAAATCTAATTTTAGTATCCACTCTGCAAATTATTTACACAATATCGTGCACTTCGCAACGATCACCTTTTGTTTGCTAAAGTTTCTACCGATCGAGGGCGCACAATTCATACGTCAAATGAAGCTTTTGTTTCCACCAAATTCCAATCTACTTATTCGAATGCTTGTAAAACTCAATTTAAAATACAATTATTACGCATTGTTTCCAATTATTAACATAATTAAATTTTCAATTTTATTTAATTCATTTTTTTGAGATTAAGAATTCAAGGTTTATCAATGAATTTTTATCAATAATTGAATTTGAAAATTTAAAAAGTATCTTAATCCAGTCCTGTCTTAATTAATTTGTTGAATTAAAGAATGAAGAAACTAATGGAAACTAATAGTTTTTTGTGTCGTAAATTAACAATTTGATTCAGCTTTTACAATTGAATCGGTTCAACCAAATACTAAATTTATACCTTAGTCCGACTCTGCACGGATTAGTTTCGGAATGCGAATGCTAATACATATCCTTTTGTACTCTGCATCCTGCAAACAAAACATAAAAAAAATATGCATCGCCTCGCATTTATTGCTCACATAATTAAAACTTTAGGAAAAATAAATTTTCGCGCTTTTGATGTTTTCGCCGCACGCGTAACATTTCCTCGCTCCGCGCGCTCGACTTAATGAAATAAACATGACAAAAAAAAACACACGTATTTCATTAGCAAACACAGACGGACATAGAAAAAAATAAGCAAAAATTAAATAAAAGTTGATGTTGAAAGTGTTGCAGCTTTAATATAAAAAAAAATAATTAAACAGGACCGGGATTGTATTTATAATCCACTTAAATTAATACCCTCTCACTGTATCTTTTTTTTTTTGATGCGTGTTTGTTTCGTCCTTGTTTTGTTATATATAAATATTAACTCTTGTTTTTTGTGTGTGCATTTGTTTCTTTTGTATCGTCCTTTGTTCACGTCGAAACAAAGGAGTATTAAATTAATAGTAGGATGTTGGGCCGGACAAAAATTAAACAAGTCCGTCCATGGTTGGAGTACATTTGGTTGTCTATACGCATTTTGATTCAATTACAACTTTACTATTTTAATTAAATGTTCTTTTTCCATGTATTTTTTTTTATAATATGCTTTTAACATACAATTTTGTTTTACCTGAGCTTTACACACTAATTACAAACGGTTATTCATTGAAAAAAAAAAACAAATTTAATATTTAAAAAGTTTTTCATTAATTTTCTCGAAAACTGTAATACATAGAATGAATCAAAAGGATGCATATAAAAGCTCAATGTTTGGGGAATCTA